AAATCACTGATGCTCTCTTGCAACCTACCACCCAGCTGAGTGGACAAAATCCGGGCTGCTGTCACCAGTCCAGGAAAGCCAAAATCAGCAAGGAAGGGGTCCAAGAAGGCCAACTCCCAACTACTGCCCAGGACTTTCCCAAGTTCTTCCAAGTGGTTTTTCCAAGTTTTCTACAAAACAAACTGCTGTCCCTGCTGTCCCAGCTGCTGTCCAGAAGATTCCAGCAGCAGTTTGCTGCTGCCCCAGCTACTCGGGAGCAACCATCAATGGCCCGACGACTGGGAATCATTCTCCCAATGTTGAAGACTCGCTGACCAAGAAGGGTGTTCGTGGATTGTGGTTGTCCAAGTCATCCAAGAAGCTGCCAACCCCCACACTTCCGATCCACCAACAAAGCACCTCCGGAAACCTTGTATTACCTCATTCCTTGGTGAAACTCTTTCCTAATGCTCTTATCTTCCTAGTTTAATTTTCGTTTATGGTTATTAATGGATTCATAAAGATCATGTCAATCACTCGCCGCTAAAGCCTAGTAATTAGAAGAGTTGTGTGAGGGATCTTCTTATAACAACTAATCTTATTGTTAATATTGGAATTTCTCGTTGAAATCCACTCATGTATGCAAAGATAGATTTAGTTGATTATTAACGATCTCAACTTCTCGCATGTGTTTAGACCTAAGCTATTTTATCACCTTATTATTTTTATTTTGTCGTTTATCATCAAGAGAAAGCTTATAATTATTGTGCTCTAAAATTTAATCGTGCAAACTTCCTTAATTTAATCATCCATGCTAATACGTTTCACATCAGTTTCTTTATTTTCTTTTCCCTCCTAAAGGAACCCTTTGGGAAGCTTTTGTTTTATAAATAGCAGCCTACCTCATCTCTTGTTAGCAGCTTTTGTTGAATTCAAAAATTTAGAAATCTGTTCCTGGTTTTCTCCTTTCCTCTGAATGCCAGCCCTAGCCGGGTGGTAACCCCTTTGATGATCCTTTTCCGTTCCCCCACTTCTCCTTCTCCTTTCTTGCTGTCCACAAGAATCCAGCCCCCAGCCGCAGGAATACCCAGGCTGTCCACGTCCCACCAGCAGCATCCCTACAACTGCTAGCCTTATGCACCTTAGCACCGGGGCCTCTTCCTCTTGCTACCATACAGACTATCTACCTCCGATTGGGTAAGTTTCCAGTATCATTTGGTATCAGAGCCCAACAAACTGCCACAAGAATGCCACCAAGAAGAGTCAATCCAAGACCAATTCAAGAACTCTCCATGGAAGAATTGCAAAGGGAGTTTCGCCAACTTTAAAAAAGGCTCGTGGTGTGGAATTGCATCATCCAGCATAATACCGGAATGATGAAGCACATTAAGTGGAGAAAAATCCTTTTCACTAAAAAGCCACCTTCAACAAGAATTTTTGGTGGAGAGTTATACAGCTGAATTTGAACAACTGATGCTGAAGTGCAACTTGGTTGAACCAGAAGAAAACACTAACTCGATTTCTTGGAGGTCTAAACACCTCCATAACAACATGGTACAACTGCAACCATATTAGATAATCACCGATGTCACCAATCTCTCTCTCAAAGTAGAAAATAAACAAAGAACAGGGAGAAACAACATCAACGTGTCAGCGGGGCTAGAACCCCCTTCGGCACTAGGTCCAATGCTTGGTTGACAACCTGAAACCAGAAGAACCGTGGCCGGTCGTTCTATGGGGTCTCCTTTCCCAGCCAATACCACCTCCCTCCCTACACGCAACTATTTCAAATGTCATGGGTTTGAACATATTGCATCCAATTGTCCTAGATTGGTTACCTTAGCAGAGTAAGTGTTGAATGAAAACCTGCTTCTTTGGATTAAGATATTGAAGAACTTAAGGAAGAACAACTTCTACCCACAGATGAGGGAGAATTACTACTCGTTTGTCACTTTTTGAGTGTACAATATGAAAAGAAGGATGACTGGCTCCGCCACTATATTTTCCGAACACGAAGCACCGTCCAAGCCAAAGCATGTAATTTGGTGATCGATAGCGGAGATGAGAAAATTTGGTATCCACACTCATGGTGGAAAAAAACAATCTTCCAACCACTATTCATCCCGGACCATACTAGCTTCCTTGGCTCAAAAAGGGAAGCAAAATTTTCATCACGATTGGTGGGAAATTCCAAGAACAAGTCCTTTGTGACGTTGTTCCCATGCATGATTAGCACCTTCTAATGGATAAGTTCAACAACCAGTAGCACTCAAAACTTCGAAAGCCTTCTTCGTTCTATTTTATGGACTGCTAACCTCAGGTAACTAGTGGGAGGTGGTTCTGGTGGAGGAACTATCCAGGATGAAAAAGGGATAGTGATATTAAGAACTTCAGAAAGATGGCAACCAAATGGAATAATGTAAGCAGTGCTGATGATAAGTTTTTTTATCTTCTAGTAATCCAAAGAAGAGGGCATATTGGAACATGAAGACGAAGGGACTGGAAAGTGAAGGCTGATGATAAGTTTTTTGATCACCTGTTACTGAGCATGCATGAGCAGTGATGCTTGATTTATTTTGGAAACATGTTTACGGCACAGTTATAAAATAGCTAGCAATCACTTTTTTATAAAGCATGGAAGAGGCTCAAAACGTAAGCAGACAGCAAAATATGTTTACTGGAAACATAACGAACCATGATATATTTCAGATATTAGTGGAGTAATAACGACTATCCTCCTCAAGCCAAGTTTGTTAAGACCAAAATCCCGAGTATCCAAATAAACTAAAGTGGGTTGTAGTAGTCAATATTCCACAACAAAGGTAAACATGATGCCTAATAGTGGTAAGGAATCACAATAACTGGAGTCCGAGCAACTTGGAATAGTGATCAGATAATATGGAAGCTTTAAAAAAATTAAATAAGGGTAGCAGTAAGCTTTAAAATGAAAAAAAGATAATGGCTCAACCCTGCTGATTTAGACGATATAGAAATTTTTAGCAACTATACATAACATGAGAATGATTAGTGAAGTAGAGTGTAAAACCCGGAATTTGATGATTGTAGTCGTCGCACGCATTTCGATGCGTCACGACGAAACTTAAGTGAAAAAATCAAAGTTAACAAAATTTGACGGAAGTAATTTAATAAAATTCTACGCAAAATTCTGAACGATTTAATATATAGAACTTATATATAATTTTATGTATTTTGGGAAATAAAATTTTTAGAAATTTAGATATACCCATAATACCCTTACTTATTTCTTAAGCCGAAATGTTTTAAGTGAGCGTGTAATGGTGTTTTGGCAATACCCATCTTCTTAATATAACAAAACCGAACCCCCTTCCCCTCATTTTGCATGGTTCGGCCGCAGAATACAAAGGAGCAGACGGTGGGGGCGACGGGGGGCTCCGGCAACGTTTTTCCAGCAAGGAAACTAGTGGAAATTGAAGAGGAAGTCAAGGGAAGAAAAAGGTATGTCATAGAAACTTGATTTCTCTTCTCTTCCTCAAGATATTTGGAGAAGAAACTTTTAGGGTTTTACCAAAAATGCGTTTTTCTTTCAAATTTTTTTATGAAATCGATAGAGAAGATTTAAGAGAATGATTTAACGATAGAAATGAAGTTTCTTTGAGAATTTTTGGAAATAAAAAATAGGGCTTTTACCAAAAATTTCATTTCCTTAAGGTGCTTTTACAAAAATGGTTTATAAGGGTCTTAGGAATATTTTTAAAACAAAATTTTGAGTTTTCTTAAGAAATTTCATTTTTCATAATTTCCTAATTAATTAAATCCGAAAATTAATAAAGTAATTATTAAGATATGTTTAGGGAAAATTTTGGCGTATTAAATTGATGAAATTGAGAATTTACGGTTTTAAAAAATCAAGGATTTTAATAAATCCGAAAATTAGGATTAAATTATCTTAATTTTCCTAAATGTCGTGAGGATCGAATAATGAAAAGCGAAGGGTTTAAACAATCAGGAATTTGATTAAACCTTAAGGAAGATTTATTTGTGACACGTCTTTTTATGTGATTATTAGGTTGTGACTTTAAGAAGATCGAAGTGTGTGTTAAAACGACACTTTAAGAAAGTATTGTACTTGTGTTAAGGTTGGTACTCATATTTATTGTAAAAATTTCATATTTATGCTTTGTTCTTTTATTCAATGCAATTAGTTGGAACTTTCAAGTTATATGATTTACAAATTTTATTTTGGCAAATAACATGTTACAGTCTTTTATTTCATGATGTTAGTGAGCTTTCATATTATGTTTAGATTCAAGGTTTTTATGTTTTAAACAAATGATTTTTTATTCACAATTATTTCTCATTAAGCATATGATTGACTGAACATAAATTATAAAATATAAATTATGATATAAGACTGTGCATGTTGATGCGGAGTGTCCAAATAGTAAAGAGACGACAATACAAATACCATCGTAGAGAACCTCAGGAAGAAAGATTTTATGTTTTCTGTTTTGTGTTTGAGCCAGTGGATTGCATTTGAGTATGTTAGAGTTTATATTGATGTTTATGTGTATGGATTTTTAGTTGTCTTGGTTTAAAAGAAACAATTTGGAACGCTTTCAGTTGATGTTTTAGTGGCTCTTTCTTATTTATGTATGGATGAAATGAAAGTTTATCTTATGTTAAAAAAGTTCAATGAAATTATTATGATATATGTTATGGTGTTTTCTGTACGGCTGTCTACTCCCGCTCCGTTAATTCGGGCTAGCCGGGTCGGGTCGTGACATAGAATGCACACACACACAATAAAGAGTCTTCTTAATCAAGAAGCATGCTTCCATACTGGACCTATATGATTGGGAAAGGCTGTTGCCGAGGTAACATGAACACCCATTGCATGTCCAATAAATTAAAAAAATATAACCGCTTAAAATAAAAATATTTACAATATCTTCATAGGAAAACCATAAAATAAATAATATTTCAACTTCTCTAGGAAAGTTAGAATCAAACTAATGAAAATAATTCAGCCATGAACCAACCTTTGCTTCTTCCATCTCACTATTAGCATTTTCAAGTCCATCTAGCATTGAGGAGTCCTTGCTCACAAGAGAAACCTACAGAGAAATGTTAGTTATATTTCTAGTTCAAAAGGATTAAAGATATGAAAGCTAGAAGTATATACCAATATTGGTGTTAATTGCCCTTCCAGATCAAGAAGGCCTTTTGCAAATGCTGCTGCAGACATCTGTAAACAATATGGTCAAAGATTACAAATTTCAGTATTCCACTCGGTTGTCATCTTTGTACCATGGCTGCAATTGGTGCTTTTGCCTTTTATATGAATCCAGATGGACAATAAAATAAGGTTGTTTTACAGTGAACTGTGAATTTATGATAGTGTTTAACATTAGCACCTGAACTCGGCCCTCATCTGAGCTGTATATTTTTAGATCATGCCTATACGTGCTATGAAGTCGAAGCAAACCAGTACCTTCCCCTGAAAGTTTCATAAGAAAAAGCAGCGAATCAATTTAACCAATTACGAGAATTATTGTTAATATACAGTTTCAGTAATTTTAACTAAAATGGCCTATTTTACAGTTCAACAACATGAAAGCAAAACATGAAATTTGCTTACACACGAGATGAGGCAAGCCAATGGCACGAAAACTTGACACCAACGAATTAAAAAAAAATTGCAAGAGAAAATTGACAAAATATCTCTCTTTAAAAAAAAGGTGGTCGGCATATAAATCAAATTAAATTAAACTAATTAAAAGATAGCTTAAATTAAAATTACTATTATTTTGCCAAATTTATACTAAGTGAAATAGATATATACATGATGAGGTATGCGGCGGAATAAGCAGGTTCACAAGAACAATCAACGAAGGCAATAAAACTATAAAGGCTTTTGCCTGAAAATATATTTCATCAACTGTTTCTCTCATCTTCTCCGGGAGAAGATAAACAAAACGCCCAGAGCAAGGAAACTGGCTCATACTAAAAATAGCTACTGAACTAAAGGAAGTGCCTATACTAATAACTAAATAAGGCAATAGAAGTGGAGCAGGAGTAATGCTAACAGAAAGCTGCTCCTAACGTTTTAAAATAACTAACTGAATTAAAACAAAAGCATATAAAAGGTAACGTGTCGCCAACGGTCGAGATGCCCCGTCGAGATGCTCCGCATCAATACATTATATTTTTAAAACTAAAAATCCATTAAATCACCTAAATCCTATGACTTGACTTCGATCCCAATATGTTGTACGAGTTTTGTCCACCACGTGATGCCACTTCTCTATCCCGTCCATCTCTTTAGAAGAAAAATGAAAAGAAAACCCATCCCATTGCTCTCCCTTTCCACTCACACCCCCCCCTTCCCCCCCCCCCCCCCCCCCCCCCCAAGCAGCCACGAACTCCCCTTCTCTTCCCATCGATCACACCAACCTACTTCCTATAGTTGACTCTAGGTTTACTTATTGATGGTGAGATTAGTTAGGAATAAGAATAATTCTCCCAATAAGATCTTGGGGCATGACATATGAGCTATAATATGATATGAAGCCAACGAGTTATGAGACCTACGGGTTATGGAACCTACGGACTCAAGAGGTAGTGCGACCTCAAGAGTCTACGAGCTGCAAACCTAGAGCTAGACATTTAGATTTGACCTTGAAAAAGGGAAGTTATGAAATGAATGAAAATCTATAACAATGATTACTTATTGTGATTGTATGATTTAAATATCATATGCAAATGCAATTGGCTTAAAATAATGCTACTGATATTATAAGACTTGTAATTGAAAGTGTAATTTGGGTAAATATAGTTCTTACATGCTACATTACATGGAATTCCCTGTTAGAATGATTGTAGACATGGGTTGCTTATATACGCTTATTATAGGCGCATCTTAATTTACCTGTTGATGCTCATGTTCATTATTTTTTTTTCTTACATTTGATTATTGTATTACAGTTGCATATCTTTATAGGCATCAAAGCTAACCAGATGCTTCTTCTGACTGTTATTACAAAAAAGGAGAACGATAAAAGTTGAAAGCCAGAATATAATATTTACTTTTGTCAATATAAATAATGTTTAGATTGAAGTCTATAGTTTATTAATAGTTCCATGTTTTGTTTTTCTATAGTTACTATGTAGATAAAAATTTTGAAAATTAAATTTAGATAGCTTCCACTTACGATTGATGTTTTAAACTGTCTTTCATTATTGTTCTGCATTTGAATGACAGAAATTGTATTGAAATGTAATGTAGTAATATAAATGATTTATAATCTCTCCTTTGTCGTGTTTCGTATCGGCTATTAGGAGTAGGGTCAGCGTGGGGCGTGACAAATACATAACACCCTTTCACCAACATAATGATATTATCCAATTCTTTGAAAATAAAAACAATGTAATTACTCTTGATGCATTGTTAAACCTTTATAAAAGCGTATGAAATATTTGTTGCATTACTAATACTCATGACATTTAGAAATATGACATGGATATATTACTCAGAAATAATGATAGTAAAATAAAAATTTTCCAAAAAAAATTATCTCCCAATTTTCACATCTCAAGAAAATGATAAGTAACATTTTTATAAAGTTATATTTTTATTATGATCATTTTGATATATATAAGTATATAGGTAATTATAAGTTTATTAGCTTAAAAAAATTAAATTACTTAAAAATTATTTAAATGAATTTATTTAAATACTACTATTAATTAGAACAATACAACATCAAGTCTTTATCCCACTACGTAGGGTTGGCTACATGAATCCTACCTCTCTGTCCTATTAAGAGTCAAATTATCAAATGTCCCATTAGAATAATAATGAAAAAAAAAAGGTTAGGATATCCTATCAATTTTTTGGCCAAGATGGCTTTACAACTTTTAGATATGTTTTTAAATGAGTGCAATAAATAAATAATTTGTATTGTATTTATCTCAAAACAAATCAAAAGGATAAAATTTGTGATTTTTATATGATATTAGAAAAAAATAAAATTTGTGATATAAAATGTAGAAAATTTGTTTAACATTTCTAATTTTTATAATTAATTTCTCATATTTCCCTAACATAAGTAATTATCTATGTAGTGTGTAATTTTCTATACTATATTCCCTAAAATTAAATTCATATTCCTCAAATGATTTATTTATTTACATAAAAAATTTAGATATAGTCAATCCAAAACTAATAAGGAAAAACCTAACTTGGATGTATATGACTTTAAAGATCGAGACAAATACTATTTGCCACAAATGCATTTATTGTCCTAAACAGGCAAATAGAGATATATCTTGAGCCCATGAGCACAAGATTGACCCTTATGGAACATCTAAACGAAGTAATGTAACTAGATATAAGAAAAGGTTTTTAGATGTAAAAGAGGAGTTATTTTCTTATCAAGAAGGAAAAAAAGCAAAACAACGTTTATGCATGGCACATAATGAAAGGGTGATAGATATTACAGAAGAACCAGTTAGTCAAATATTCATACATTGCTTAAATACAACCTTGAAGTTTCCAATTTTTACATCAAACTACTACACTAGTTTTAAAGTCATAACTGCTTGTTAAGTCCTATGTTAGAAATTTTAATTTGTAGGTTCACTCTCGAAGTTTGCCTTCATTTATAATAGGTAGAGAAATATATCACATTTCTTTTCAATTTTGTATCATGTTTTAACTTTTAAATCATTTATTAAATACTTAATATTTTATAATTACAGCTGAATGAATCATTAAAATTTATATAAGTTATGAACGCTCAAGTCAATAAATGTGCTGTTTTACTTCACGCATCCAAGAAAAAAAAAAACTTTGAGCATCTCATTGAGATTATATATGCATACATATATGAACATCTGTAAGTAAACATACATAATGTATAACATATGTGTATATATGTATGTATTCACTCCATGAACTACAGCTAGCGAAAAGCTACTAACATAATAAATGGAGAAGTATCTACTGTAATTTGCATCAAACGAAAGCCTTATAATGATGTGATGATGATCAATACGCCCAATTGAATAGTCACCAACCAAGCGAAGTCATGACATAAATTTGTGAATGACATTGAAGTTTGGACTGCCCAATTAAGTTTCACAAACAATGGACAAATAAAGAGGAGTCAGCTAGAAGATCTCTTTCTCATAAAAAATAAGCACCAATTTACCTTGAAATGACGAAGGTTGTTTATGATTTGTTGGAGCAAAATATTGATAAAAATGAAAAGGAATGTGCACAAAACTAGATGGATGCAATCACGTGCCTGAAGAACCACTCTCCACTTTTGCAAAAAAACAAAAATTGCTAGTAATCACAGGTGTGGGATCGAATGAAATGCAAGTAGCTAAAGAAGCCTCAAAAATAAAAAGGAGCTATCAACACAAAAGGAAATGACGATAGCTGAACTAGAGCAAGCACTGTGACTGTAAAAGCATGCGAAGAGGGAAGTAATAACGGTAGGATGGGGAATAAGGAGAGGATAGTTGGTAGGTGCATCCTAGAAGTGGTGGGAAATGAGAGGTAATGAACAAGAACAAGAAGCAAGCCACCAGAAGAGGGAGGCCAAAAGTTAGGGAGGAGCACAAGAGCAAAGCATTGAGTGGCCCACCCAGAGCCATTCCCCACCTCGAGCAAACATGCTCACAACAACAGCAGGATATGCAGGCAACACTCAGGGCATGCAACCATAGCATTGCGTAAGCGAAACGAGAACACGAGCAATCACAACAGTGGAGATGGTATCGCGAGCCACCTCATGAGTGAGATGGGTGCACCAGAACAATTGAAGAGAAGAACCATCGCATGGCTAGGTGATCTCGCAAAATAATCGAGAGCACTGGAGCGACGCATTGTATTCTAGAGCAATGTGACACTTGTATTATCTTATTGAGTCTTTAGGAGTTTAGGGTTTTGTTCTATGTATAGGTTTGTCGTTTGAGTTATTTAGTATATCACCCACTCGATCATGATGTATAGAATTTCAAAATGAGTGTTAGAGGTAGAATTGATAAGTTAAGTTGTACTCATCACTGCCACATCTTACGTTCAACCGAAAGAGGTCCTCATGGGGCATGACAATTGATTTGCCCATTGAATCTTGGGAAATTAAAAAACAGTCGAAAAAAGCTAATAAGGTAGAATGAATATCCAAACTGAAGGTGCTATTCAAGAGCAGCATTTTACTAAAAACCATAGTGGACTATCTAATGGAGAACGTGCAATGATGAAGATGAAGAAGAGGGTGTAGTGGGTGTTGATGCACATACAGAATAACTTGAAGAGTGAACAAGAAACTAGACATAACAATAGATTAAGAGGGTCTGCACATTGCTTGATGAAAAATAGGGTTACAAGTCTGATGTATACCAATATTAAGAAGGAAGAATATATAAATAGGCATATTCATTCCAAACCTCATTGTTATTCTAGCAATAAAAAGAAATGTTAATAACACAATGACGCCTACATTGAAAACAAAAAATGATTTTCTTTAGTCTGTAAAAAAGGTAGAGCATTACATAAAACAAGAAAGACGCCTAAGAGAAACTAACCTGGATACATATGGTTCCGAAAATACCTCCCAAGTTCTTCAGCCTACAAGAAGTAAAAGAAGTATATTACAAAAAAGTAATACGGACGCTAAAATTAACAAGGTCAGAGAGATTATATTTAAGTGTATTGTTGGATGTGAGCACAAGTGATTAATGTTATGGGGTCGTTGAGTGGATCGGAATGGACTTTTTTAGGAAAGGGAGAATCAAAGCATTAATGACCACCCTATCACATAATCATATTTCTTGAAGGTGAAACTGACGCGTTCCGCCTCCTATCAGCAGAGGGAGGGCCGGCGACCACCAGGCGAGCGGAAGCGGCGGGGGAGGGAGCCGCGCAGGTCGGCCAGCCGAAGGGAAGCAGGGGGCGAGGCGGAGCGGGCTGGGCGGTTCGGCCTTGAGCAGAACCGGTCCAATCCTGGACCGGTTTGGCTCGGGTCTGCCCTAGGCTGGGCGGTTCACCTTGGGCGGCCCACTAGTGGGTTTTGTTTGGTCTTTTGCTTGCTATAAGTAGGGATTAAGGGGGGATTTCTAGGGTTATGCAGAATTTGGGTTTTCTCTTAGCCGTTTCTATTTTTTCTCTAAGTTTTCTAGGGTTTATAGTGGGAGACCTTGTCCTTCTCGAAGTGGACAAATTGTATCTTTCTTTTGTGTTGAACTTGCTTCTCTTTCAATACTATATGGATTCCCTTTTCTTTATTGTGATTGTGCCCTAATTTTGAGAGTTTTTCCTCATCTTTTTGGAAGGTTTGTGCCCTAATCCGAAAATCATCAAAGTGCACAACTCTTGTGATTTTACCGTGGGAATTCATTGCTTTTGATCTTGTTTTGTTCCTCTCATCTACTTCTACGTGGAATTGTGCTTTTTGTGAAGAATTATTCTCTTCATTTGAGGGGAATTAGGGCAAAACCAAATTTGTGAAACCCTAGGGCGTATCAGAAACTTCCCTGAAATTAAGGAAGAATTATTCTCCGCATGAAGTTAAATAAAAGTTTCAGCAAAGTATATGCAATGGTGGCCTATTACTCGACCTGCTTTCTTCCTGCATGTGTAAGAACGCCACCATACTTGAGAACCATCAAAGCTTCAACTGGGCGTTCTTCCTCACCTTCACCATTATTCCTTCGCACTTTGACCCATTTGAGGGGCTTCAGTTGCACTTTCCTGTAGATACCTGAAAAATGACCACCCTACTACCATATACAGTCACACTTCTGTTAGAAAAACGAGTTTAAATGAAGAAAGAAGTCTTTCAAAAATTTATATCAACAGAAAAGAAAGTATAGTTTGTATGCAGAAAAGAAAATTCAGCATGCTGTAGTTACATTGCGCATAATCTTCTTAAAATATCAATGTAAGGAGAACAAGTTTATAATCAACAACAAATAACCAAAAAAGCAGAAAGTTGAATAAAATCATCTTAATTACAACCTCCGGCAAAAAACAGCAATAATGGTTCAAACCTCGATGTGCAAAATGATCGTTTAGTAAAAGTCAGCCTGATGAGGACATCGTCAGCAATTTCGACACGTGTACCATCGGAGACGCCGGAGATCGACGTCCACGATCAGGAGTTTTATTTTGAGTCATTTTATGTAGTAGTTTATTTTATTTTTCAGTTTTTACTGTTTTACCCTTATGGGTGGTCATTTGATATTGTAGCCCCGAGGGCATTTATGTCTTTTAATTTTTGTTTCATTTTGGCCTATTTATAGGAGGCCTAATGCATTGTAGTAGGGGATGATTGATATGAAATTTCAACTTTGGTTTTGGATCTCTTTGTGAGTTCTAGAGTTCTCTTTGTGAGTTCTCGAGTAAGAATTAGCCTACAGAAGGCTCAAAGCAATACCCAACAGCCCCTTGGTGGAGCTCCTGGTTTTCTATATAATTTCTTCTTCTTTCTTCTCCCCTAGACGCTGGATCTTCCCCCAAACCTGCCACCAACTAACCGGCCAACAACCTGCCCCCTTCCCCTTTCCGTTAACAACTGGAACCCGCCCCTCCCTCACCCGTCAACCCTTATTCCCCACCTCCACTAAAATCAGCCCCACCCTGACCCCTTGGATCCCCACCCGCCGGCTCCCAATGACAAATCCTCCCGTCGGCCTGCTCCCCTCACCCCAGCCGCTGGAATAGCCACCGGCTTTAGCCCACCCACTCTCTTGTTTGGCCGCTGATTTCCCTTCCCCCACCTCTTCAATTCCCATTAATTCCCCCATCATAACCTTCCTAATTTGGCTCCAATTGTTTTGGACAGATTTTGAATTTCAAAATCCTATTGAATTGAATTGAAGAGCTTTCCCTTTTCTCCTAAACCGTGAGCTAGGAAATTCTCCATATTAATTCAAATCTGATGACTAAATCAGATTTTAATTAATGATCCATTAATTAGCCGGGCCCACTACCAACCACTAGATTTTGAATTTCAAAATCCTATTGAATTGAATTGAAGAGCTTTCCCTTTTCTCCTAAACTGTGAGTTAGGAAATTCTCCATATTAATTCAAATTTGATGACTAAATCAGATTTTAATTAATGATCCATTAATTAGCCTGGCCCACTACAAACCACTTAAATTCCACTCCTCCCTCTCTCTCCCTCTATGGCCGGCCACCCATTGCCTCCCTTCCTTAATTAGGAGCTTAATTCAAGGCTCCAAATTAAGCCCCATTAATTCCCACTTTCCCTCCTAACGTCTAAATTTCAAATTTCAAAATTTGAAATTATGAGAGCCCAACTCAAATTAAGGAAATCTAAAATTAATTTCAGATTTCCTCTCCTAGCCTAATCCAAGCTCCTCATTCAAGCCGTCCCTTCCCCTTCTCCCTACCTTGGCTACTCCCCCTCCCTTGCATCCTCACCCTTGGGAAAACTTATTTGCTCATGAAACTTGAAGCCAAGAGAAGAAGACGACCTCCTCTCCCAACCTCATCGTCATCGGTGCATGGCCGATCCGGAGATCGACCACGGATTTTATTCTTCCCGGACGTTGGATGCTCACTAGTCATCCCGTGGACTACCCGCCTCCGGCTACTTCTCTAACGGACTACACTTTGAGCGCCATTTGTCTCCTAGTGGCATCGCTCAGTTTGCTCTCAATCTTCCTCTGTTAAAGCTCCACCGTCAAGAGCGTGAGTGAGGGACCCAAGGTGAAGAGTTCTATTTGTTAATCGTGGATTATTGTTTCTCACCATAACATTACTCTCTATTTATATGTTGTCAATTTGATATTGTCCCGTTAATCTAGTTGTAACCGCATGCCTTACATAATTTCGACTTGATAATTCTGAAAACCTAACTTGGATAAGCAATAATTCTATAACTAGCAAAGTTTTAATAATCTTATATTAAAATCCCCAAGCAGTTCTTGTTCCATGCACATATTTCACATCACAGCCACTTCGATCAAGCCTCCTAGATATGCCAGAAAACTCAGGGTGGGTCGAGACTTCCTATGGGCACAAGTATCCATAATTAATTATCCCTCCCACTCACATGACTCTCAATTAAGAAGATTGCTCAAGCTCGCTGTTAAAGCTAGATTTAGAATTAATTGATACGAAAAGATTGGGGGATGGAAGTAAACCCGATCAAAATCCAAAATGACATTTAAAGCACAAAATCATCATAAATATACCAAAAAATGTGTTCCCCTTACGTTAAGTGGAGTGAAAGGGTCTCACACGCAATTAAGAAGATTGCACACGAAAGGTTCGAGAACATTAAAGGGCTTGGGTGATGAGTAGTTGGGAAGAAAGGGAAGTCTATAGAAGAATCCAAAGGGACAATAGTGGGGAAGGGTTTTTAACATCTTTTTTTAAATAAGAAAGGAGAAGCAAACTAGCTTCCGTTTTCCATCCACACTGCTCCACTTTAAGCAAAAATCAATAATAGAGATGTAGTGTCTACTGACTTCATTTAATTACCATTTTAAATAAAAAAAGTGATGTGTCAATATAAATCACAAGATATTTCAATTAGCTCAATTTATTAGACTATTTTAAAAAATATAAGTTTATTTAAGCACATAGAAGTTTCTTGTTACATATCATATTTACCTTTAGCGCATATTAAACATATCACTTGATTACAGGTGAATATAAATGCTAAAAATGTAATTGTCAAAAATAATAATATTAAATTGAGAAAAAAGCAAAGAAAATGTCATGTCATGTGAGATAGATTGACAAATTAACCTACAAAGGAAAAGTCAAAAGTACTAACGAGATGAGCCTCCATAGGATAAAAGGAAAGTTCCTGACTCTCAATACTAAAAAGTTGATAATATAATGTTTAACTTTGAGATTGAGGGGATATTGATAAATGCTATGTTGATTGTCCAAACTTTATGGATGGTTTTAGGACTGATGAGCTAGATGACGATCAATGATATAAATGTGTCAAAAAGCCAATAATGCATTATATGATATTTCTAAGAAATTATTTAGTGATAATGAAAATGAAAATAAAAGTGGCGCAAGTAATTGATAAATAGACTGCACTATATAATTTAAAACTTGAATGACAAATTTCATGATCAAATACTCATGTCATTCCCTAAAATTAAGTCTTTTATTTAATTAAATGCAAAGAAAGGTAAAAAATTAAAAATTAAAAATTTTAAAAAAGCAAAGAAATTTTTTCTTTAAATATTATTTATGCATTAAATTAGTTATATCTATAATCAGAAATGCTCATGTTAGTTCAAAATACCATCACACACATTATTACATATTGCTTGTATGTTTGAACCTTATATTAGTATTGTTTATCCCACTGAGCGTTTAATTCATCAGATGTTACGATGATCATTTTTTAGGAAAAAATAAATAAGCAAATAGGACAATAGACAAGTAAAACAGCTTACAAGTACCCTAATATTATGGATAAATCCATAGTTTTGAAATATAATATAGAAAATAATATACGTGATGTATATTAAAGACTTTTGGTATGTATAAATTATTTATAAAAGTATTAGAAGCTTTGTAGTCTATTTTGATGATTTAAATCACGCAAGCTTACATATAAAAGAGTATCATAAATCTATGAAAGGATGAGACATAATTTTTGACAATTTAGTCAGATAAATTTCTACTCACTCAATCATGAATTAAAAGAAAATTCAAGGTGTAGATTAGAAATGTGTTTGCCTAGATTATCTACCTCTATTACAACTCATGATTAACAAAAGAGAGGTCAAAAGGGGGGAATGAAAAGTTACTAAGCAGATTCATAGGAAATCAAGTGCAGCTTGAGTCCGGACAATATAATTCCACACATCCAAATTTCACACGCTCACACGTACTTACTTGTGATTGTCTTTGGAACGAAAGGCACATAATTACATGCAGGCATAATTTTATTTAGCCTATGGGTGCTGATTCACTAGATTTGATTGAAATAGAGAGAAATACAAACTTGATGGTAACCTGCGGATCTACTTTCACTCTCAGGACCTTAACATGGAGTTCCTCCCAAGATATTGGTCGGGTCGGTCAATTTGGAACTATAACTAGATTTAATATTTATGTCAAAATGACCTATCTTTCCAAAATACTAATTTCTCAATATAAATGCCGTAATAGAAAAGTTACCCAATATTTCAAAAAGATTTATCCATGCACAAATTCATCAAAGATTGTACAATTTGGTCTTAATACTTCTATAGTAATGGTGGTTAAAACTCCTAAGGTAAGAAATGAAACTCACAACATACCTCCTCAAGCACAGCTTTGACCTGACGAAGTTTTTCTGCATGTTCAATATCTTCAGCATCACTATCACTTTCCCGGCCAGACCTAGTTTATACAGTAGTGGACTATCAGTATTCATGCCTGGAAAAAAAAGCATTTATTAAACTATGTAATTACCAACATCACCATTTAAACTTCACAATACACATTAACAGTGCTTTCACTTTGTTTCTCCATAAGTCTAATGTAAGCAGGTGGTGGAAGTGGGGTCTGACTTTAGGGGTGTAAGTGAGCCCAGCCGGCTCGAGCTCGACTTGTTTATGGGCTCGCAAGCCGAGCTAATTGAGCTCGCGATTCGAGCTCGAGTTCGAGCTTAAGCCGGTTCGGCTTGTGAGCCCGCGAGCCAGCTCGAATAAATATTAATATTTTTTAAAATAAATTTATTTTATTTATTAAATTTAAATATTAAAAATAATAATAATCACCTAAATTAAACATTTCATTTCTTAAAAAATTTTATCTAAGTTTTAAAAATCCCGATTAATTTTTAAAATTTTTTAATATCCCTCCTAAATTTAAAAATTCCTGCCCATGGCTGATGAGCCGACTCGCAACCCGGCTCAAGCTCGTTTACAGTGAGACGAGCTCGACTCGAGCTCGACTATCGAGTTCGAGCTCTCTTTCCATGTAACGAGCCGAGCTCGATAAGAGCCTAAACTCGACTCGACTCGTTTACACCCCTAGTCGACTTTGATACATTAATTCTCGAAAAGGGAAGAATCTGATATAGAAGAACCAAGGAGACAGAGAAAGATGACATTGAAAAGACAAAGATGGATGCATGCCTCAAATGTATGAAAATAATGGTAAAAAGAATAAAAGGAACTTAAACTAAGTGAAAAAAGGAATTGATCCCAGTGTAATACCCAATTTTTCAAAAATATAAGATAAAAATTTCTCTTAAATATTATACCTCATTTTTTAACATCGTGAAAATCATTGAACTATTTTTAAAAAATTCTAAATTTCATTTAGATCATTTTAATATATAGAAGTATATAGAAATATTAACAAATTAAGTTAGCTATTAATAATTTCACTAATATTATTTTTTTATGTTAACATATAATACTGTAGTAAGAATCGAATATCCAAAATTACATGCCATGCAAGAGTAAATCGACAAATTGATGGTGGGAATAGTACATAGCATAGTTAATTGCAATAGATTGTTAATAACCTAACCATATCTTATCCAATTTCTCCCTTATTCGTATCACTTCCCAAATCGTAATATTGGAATTGGGAAATAAAAGGGAGGTTTTGGTAAGGAAATAAAGAAGGAAATATAGGAAAAGAAGAGACGAAGAAAAAGAAGAAGAAAGAGAGAGAGAAACGGATTCTCAGTAGAGAAAAAATAGAAAAGGACAAGGGAGCTTGACACAATAAAACAAATAAGAGAAAATAGGGAAAAGAAGAAGGGAAGAAGGAAAGATAGAGAAAAAGAAAAGAAGAAAAACAAGAGAAGAAGAAAAAGACGAAGAACAAAAATATGATGAAGATGAAGAAGAAGAAAAGGGAGAGGGAAAAAGAGTAAGAAAAGGGGAGGAGTAAAAAAACAAAATTTTCATTAACAATCTAATGTTAGTATTATCTTCCTCAAATTGAGTTTGGATTCGAGTTTATATGGTTGAATGCTTGAATGAGGAGAAATCATATTTAGATAAAAATATTATTTGATGTTAATTGATTTAGCTTCAATTTGGTATTTTAAAAGTGTATTTTAAGTTAGAAAATTATTGTTATTAGGCTCTTTACGAATGAAAAGGCATCGTGATGTAGAACAAAATCTGAAGTTTTCAGATTTGCTCTCAGAAATAAAAAAAAAAAATCAATTCCAGCTTCAGTACTGGGAAGGAAAATCATAGAGGGGCTTTAGTCTTTAGTCCAGCAAGTCTTGACCGTGAGAGAGAGGAGCTTGGAGAAAGAAATAAGCAGGCATAAGAGGGAGGCGGCTATATGAGGTGAGTTAGGGAAAAAGAATTTACTTTCTATTCCCAATTCCATATTTAGGAAATAAAACCAGAGATTGGATTTAGAAAATTTCGGGTAGGGGCCAGGTTAGAGATTTAAAATTATTTCCCAAAGCAATAGTGAAGGATTAGGAAATAAATTTTAATCAAAGCCAATAAATAGAGGAAGAGGCCGGCAGCATCCAAAGGGAAAGATGCGTCTAGAGCAATCAATTGGGTTACCTAAATTGGGTTTTGGGATTTAGGAAAGAATTATTTAGATCCATTTGAATTTAAAATTCAAATAGAACTCATTTACAACTTTCCAAACATAGAACGACAAATTTGGACAAATTTCAAATTTCAAATTAGTTGGATTTGAATTTTGAAAACCTCCCAAAATTAAATCACCCAAATTAAGCAAGGAATTAATGGGGATGAGGAGGTGGATGGGGAACTGGCGATTAGAGGGTTGGCCGGCAGTATGGGAGCTTGGGTGGGATGTTGGCCGTGGGTGTTGGACGGGGAAAAGAGGGGTTTTCGGGTGAGGCTAGAATCCGGAGGCCAAACGAAAATGGGGAGGAGGAAGAAGATGAAGATAACGACAAAGAGCAATAAGAAGGAACAAAAGCAAATAAACAAAATATCAAAGATACAACCGCGAGCCCGGACACATCCTGCGGCTGACGGGTACTATGTTGCCCTTCTCCAAGGGACTTCACGCCACGAGCCCGGACCCATCCTGCGGCTGGTGGAAACTCCGACTCCCTCCCATAGGGATTTCACTAACGTTCTTCCCAAAGAACCCAAGTGCAAAACGCAAATTTTTTTTATTAATAATCCATCATGTTCTAATACAAGAGCAAAGGCCTCTATATATAGGCCTTAAAAGAAACTAAAAGACAATTTTGCCCCCTGGGCTTACATAAAATAAATCCATTAAGGATAAAATAAATCCATTAAGTGTAAAAAAAGAAAAATGCATAATTAAATAAAAATTACAATAAATAAAATAAGATAAAATGAAGGGATCTCGGCCGTCGATCTTGGTCTCTTCCTTTGATTAATGCCCACCGTCGGATGTCCGCATCACATCGAGGCGATAGAAATCAAGAAATTTGTTCCGAATAAGATCACATACTCGATATCTAATATACTATAATTCAAATTATTCTTGGTTATACTAATGAGGACATCAGAAATCTATGGCTACGATCGTGCCTATTTATTTTGATCTATTTTATCTATTTGATTTGTTATTGTTCTTTTTCCCTTTCTACCCTCACTTGAGGGCTTTGTCTTATGTATTCCCTAGGGGCAATAGTGTCTTTGTTATTTCCCTTCATGTATTTGGCTATTTTGCACATGTTTTCTTTAAGTTGTGAGAGTTCTTGGAGAGAGCTTTGGAGAAATCCCTAGGGAGAGAAAACGGTTGAATACTTTCCTAAAATAAGATTAATCTAATTTGGATACTTTCCAAATCTCTTCAAATCTAAATTTAATTGGAGATTCCCTTTAATTCTCTTCCCTTATTTAATATCCTATGTTTGGAAAGAGTCTTAAATCCCCAATCAATTTTCTTTCATGCATGGCCGGTCCCCTCTATCTATTTAATTCAATCAATTAATTAGATACTTACCTCTAATCCTCTTTCCTTATTTAACATCCTAAGTTTGGAACGGGATTTTTAAATTCCCCAATTCAATCAATCCATATTAACTCCCTAGACTCTCAAAACCAGCCATCTCCAACCTTCTCTCAGCCCCAGCCGCCCCGCCCCTCCCCTCCCAGTTCTTTACCGCGTGGCCCTCAGTTTTCCCTGATTTTCTGTTAGCTGTCCCCCTATTCCAGCAAGAATATCTTGCTGTCCAGAACAGATTTCTGCATTCTGAACAGATTCTGCCGGCTGTCTTGAAGTTTATACACAGTAAACTGCTGTCCAAAGAAGGACAGCTTTCTGCCCTTCACTCCAGCAAGACTTCCTTTACCGTACCACCACCAGGAAGGCTTCTGACTGCTGTCCCGATCTTCATGTGCTGATGTTTACACATCTTTACTTGCTGTCCAGAAATTTCTGGATGCTAATAGTGGCTGTCCACCCTTCCAAAACCTAGAAAGCTGTTGTCCAAGGTCACCTATCTGCTGTTCAAAGACTCCAGCAGCAGTTCGCTGCTGTCCACCCCTCTTGGAGCTACCGTTGCTGCCCGGAACTGTCCAGAATCGCCTCCCAAGTTGGCTACTTGTTGTCCAGAATTTCCCAAGTGTCAAAGTTGTTGTCCAGCAATCGTAGCAATCTCCTATTGCTGTTTCGTTGGCTTTAAAGTTTAGATTGCTATCCAACGAGATCGAGAAGAATCAAGGTTGCTTTCTACCTCCGCTCAAGCACATAAACACCACACTGGAGCTTTGAATGTCTTGTTTATTTGGGTGATCTTTCCTCCTACTCTTTTATCTTTTAGTCGCTCTCAATTGTAGTTCTAATTGACTCATGAAAATTTGTGTTAATTCTTCCCGCTAAAGCCTAGTATTTAGTAGGAGTTGTGTAAGAAATCTTTTATAGCACTACTCTTATTGTTAAATTAGGGATTTCTTGTTGAAATTCATTTCGTTTGCAACGTCAAGAATAATTGATTGTTATGTGGTTTTACTTTTTGCAAGTGACTTGGCTTAAGCTTTTGTTTTCTCCAAATAATTTTTTCTTTTAATTGTAATACCGCACTAAATTAGCTATAACTTTAATTTAAAAAGTTCATGTTAGTGCAAAAATACCAACATGCATATTATTATTTCTTTATTGTATCTCACTAAGCATCTAACTCATCAAATATTATGATGACCATTTTTCAAGAAGGGAAAAGGAGCAGGAGCGACAATAAAAAGGTGACACAACTTTTCTTGTACCCTAATATTATGGATGGATGTATAGTTTTGAGATGTAATATAAAATATATAGATTATGTAAATTAAAGACTTCTAGTGCATGTATAAATTTTCTATGGAAGTATTAAAAATTATATAGTTTATTTTGATAATTTAAATTATGCATGCTTTTATATTAACGAGTATGATGAATATATCAAAAGAGGAGATATATTTTGTGAAGATCTAATTGGATAAATTTACTACTCGCCCAATCTTGTACTGTGAAAGTCAAAATAGGTGTGCGTGGGAAATACATTTGCCAAGAATGTCCACCTCTATTACAACTCATGAGTGATTAGAAAAGGTTCAAAATAGGGCATGACAACTGGCTAACCAATTTTGATCGTTGTGGTTAACAGAAAATGGTGTAGAAAAAATGTGGAAGAATTTAAAAATGAGTATTTGAACTCAAAATTTAATTAAAGTATTAAAAATTCAAATTTGAATATGAAATTTGAAATTTAAAAACTGAAAAATAAAATAATTTGAAACACAAAATCAGGACAAGTTTGGAGAATATGATATAAGGAATTAAGTTATATGAAAGAAAAGTTAGGTTAGAACATATTTTCAAATTAGAATTAGAATTTTCAATTCTAAATCTTATTGAAATTCAATAATATAACTTTTTCCCGAATTTCAAATTAAAAACTTAGAATTTTTAATTTTCATATTTTTCATACTCTTTTTTTTTTTTTTTTTTTTTTTTTTTTTTTTTTCTTTGTTGTTAAGTTTGATGCAACTATCCTGATAAAGTGAAGGAAATAGGTGGTAGCTATTGAAGGTTGAGGAAGAAGGATATGAATACAACAAATATGAAAAATGTAAAAAAATATTTTATTAGAAAATGTCTAGATTTTATTTGTGCATGGAAAGGTAATGGGAAAGTGTTTAAGAATTTGTGTGGAGGGCATAAGGAATGAGAGACCAAAGAGATTGAGGTGAAGAAAAAAAATGATGCCCTTAGCTCTTGAAATCTAAAAATAAAATAGCCTTATTATTATTATTTTTAATTAAAAAAATAGCATTAATTTTTTAACACAGCTCTTGGGATTCAAATAATTTTCCTTTGATGCCAATTTATGGAGATCGGTTAACAGAAGAGCGGGTGGTGGTAAGCTTTAGTACCTCGAGTGTCTAAAAGTGGAGAATCTGGTAGAGAGCAAATATTGCGAATGTAAGAAAAAGGAGAAAAAAAAAAAAAGAGACAAAGGAGTTCCTCATGGGATTAATGCTAGGGAAAAGAGAATGAAAGAATGAAACTCTGGTATGAAAAAAGAGAAATTTATCCCCATGAAGGATGCCTAACGAATGCCATAAAATGGTGGCTATAATCTTCTGACAATCTAAAATGGTGGCTATAATCTTCTGACAATCTAACATTCTAACCGTACAAATAATAAGATATTGATAAGCATGCCCACAGAAAAATAGCACAACTACAAGCAGGACACACATAATAATATTAACTAGATTGATAAAAATAACTCAAGGCTGGCGGGCGTTTCACACTGCATCAAAGCCTCCTTGATAAAGCTACTTACAAAAAATCAAGTTGTGATTTACAACTTGCCTTAAGGTGAGATACGTAGTGTTAACATACCAGGATGATTAATATTTCATAATTTCAACTATAAGGATTATGATATGGAAAGATACCTGGTGCGTGGAACAAGAATACGTGTGGCATCCAATAAATCTTGTAACTGAACTGCACTTTTGAGTTTTGTCTATAAACATGGGAAAGTTAGATAACTGAGCCCATATAACATGATAGTCCATTAAATTTTTGCTAAGTGACTTTTTTAACAATTTGATATGGCTATGAGAGTATGGTGTTACCTCAGCTCGTGGTCTCCCACCATTGTACTTGAGCATTAAATTCAAGAGCTTTTCTTCAGTAACTTTCAACTTCACCTTCTGCTTTGGCGTCCGGTCACCACTTTGTATAAGCAAAAATAAATAAACCAATAAATAGAAACGAATCACACAGATAAGCTTTAATCTGATCGAAAATTAAATTGCATCCTTACTGGCGAATGACAGCAATAACACAACGCAACTCCTCTGACTGCCCTGATGTCTCAATAATACCACTTCCCTGACGTGTTAACCCCTCAGAAGGTTGAGTAGGTTCACTTACATTCCATGGTAGACTTGGAGGGATGGTAGACGAAAGATGAGGAGCTTTGGCATCAAAGAACAACTTCCTCAGTACACATGCTGCATCATCATAATACCTACACTTCAAGGTTTTTAAATATGAAACTCTGCTGATACTACTGGTGTCCACCAATTGTTAAATGAACAAAGTTCTAATTAGAATAAACAATTAAACCGTTGTATTAGATTCCTTGTGAAATATATCAGCGAATAGAGTTACTTGTGGGAATTTTTAACAAAACTCCATCCGTTGACATCACAAACATAAGATCTTCCTTCACAGCGCAGAAGGTCAAATCCACAGACCTGTTAGCATATGAAGAAGAAAAAAAATTAAAGAAATGCTTAGGAGATGTGTAGTATATAAACTGATGTGATTAAATGTCCCAAAAGAATCCTAAATAGTGGAGATGGTCTCAATGGAAACAATAGTAGTTACTTTTCTTCAATAGAGAACTGTAACTGTGGGAGAAACTCTTGACTGTGAAGGTTTATAAGAAAGTTCAAGTTTTGTAACTTTATTGTTACTCAAGGAGATGATTATGACTTAGTGAAGAGTTCAAACAAAATCCAGCTTTCAGGTTCCAAAAATTAACAAGAAATTGATGAAAGAAACTTCAGAAATACTGCACAAGAAAAAGCTTTGCAAGAGTGACAAGAAGAAGCTGATCAACCAGTAAGCTGCAAGCGGGATCCTATTGCTATTAGGAGCTCAACATAGCCTAATCTTGCATATGAGATTCTAGGTTTAGTACCACATGTAGACCAAGTATGGCACTTTTGCAGAAGCAAAGTCAGAAATTCATTCACTTAACATTTATGAAGTACTTAAACTGGTGAACTTTCAGACGAATCTTTCACAATAAAAATACTATAATTATCTCCAATAAAAATAAAATCTATAAGGATTATAATCTTTCAAATATACAGTTATATAAATATATAGACCCAGCACATACAAACAAACCTGTGTGAATCTAATTCAATGTCATACAATTGATATATTAGTAACACAATTTTCATGAAAATTGAACTGTTGACCCAATTGTGACCTATGAAAGTTCGCGCCCCAGCTCTACGGAGAGAGTTTAGGTATTTCAGGTCAAATTTTCTAAAAACAGATTAGGCTGTAGATAAGACACAACCCGGAAATTTTGCTCTCATTTTGCAATGACTTCAAAATCTAATTTCAAGTTTCTCATAGGCGCAAATCCTTATGGCTAATTATCCCTTCTAGTGACGAGAGAACATCAGATTAAGACTAGTAGTTAAAAGCTAATGCTTAGCATATAAGAGCAGCAAATTTAATTTAGAGCCGAGAAATTTATTATCTTAAACTAAAAGCAGATAGTATGGGGAATGATAGAGAACATGATTAGGATCACCTCCCGAGATATTATGATCCTTGCCCTACTTAGTCAGCACAGTTAGTCGAACCAAGCTAAACGAAAAATTCTTGTTGGTAACCATGAGTTACATTATCTAAGAGGACTTATAGAATTGTAGTGGAAGTATGCGGACATCAGATCATGGAAAGTATATCAAAGATGTGGCCGACGATCTACGGCCACGATTGCGCCGATCCATTTTTGAGTCTTCATATATATTTGTTTTATTTATTTGCTTTATGTATTTATTTTATTAGCATTTCCCGTGTAAAACCCGAAAATGATGATTGTAGGGCGTCGCACGCATTTCGATGCGTCACGACGAGATTTAAGTGAAAATTTAAAGTTAACACTATGAGCAAATTCAAATTAATATATGATCACCTTCGTTATATTTTTTTAGAGGAACGTTCAAAAATTTATTATATTTGTATTTTTTTATTATTTAATTGAATTTATTTCTTTACTTACTCTTATAAATCATGAAAATTTAATACAAAGGTCAATGTAGAATTTAAAAATATATGATGGGGAATATCTGACAGATCAATTAATTTAATTGGATTACAACTATGAACAACTTTGAAAGATATTTTTTGAGCCATGCAAAAAATATTACTATTAAATGCAAACTCAAAGAATTGGGCGTAAATTTTTGGAGCCCACACACATCATCAAGATAGTCAGCATCATCAACATCAATTTAGATATATTATTTTTGGCTTAGCGGACTCCATTTTTAGCAATTTGAGTTAGATCTAAAGCTACAATAATAACACTTGGAATGTATACATTTCATTGTTACGAGTAAGCATCCCAATCCGTCTAAACCATAAGGAAAAAATCCCAACAATTGGGTACTAGGCGGGAAATAAAGGAAAATGAAGCTAGCTTGCAGCATAATAAGATCAATGAGCCGGCCATGTTTTTCTATATCCAGAAATAAAAGTATACGTATGCCCTCATAAACCTATCTGCACACCCATGCACACGTGGAAACATAAACATGCTACTCTTTATTGCAAATTAATAAGGCTCCAATAACATTAGTTCTTAGCTGGACAAATTTTTAATTCAATTATTTTTTTGATCATCTTTTGAGTTCCAGCAATTATTATCTGCCCTAATGGAATTCTAATTCAAGCTTATTTGATGTCCAGAAAATGGTGAAATAAATCTCTGAAGAGTAAGACAGAGAGGAACAAATAAAAAAGGTGGTGGTTATTAAAATTGGGGACAGTAAACAACATGGAGTTGTTATTATGTGGCTAGCAGCCACCTCTAAGTGCAGACAACTTTGACTCAACATCGCCAATCTAGATAGCTTAATACCACAAATCAACAGGCTAGAACTTAGAAATCATCTGAGAGAGAGATAATGTATAACAGCGTAATTGCCACCAAGAATAAAATTACCAGAAAATACATGTATGATATAAACTAAATAAACAGAAAATTGGGTCGCAAACTATGCAAACCATATTAGAAAGCCAAGGAAAAATAATATCTAACAGCAAAAAGAATAAATATCTAATGTTTGCTAAAGGAAATTATAAGGCCGATCTTTCAATAAATTTGAGCATATTAGTGAACAATATTGATTCAAAAATAGTTCATTTACCGCTTGTCTGAAAGCAAGGCAAACATCCCTTGCCATCTGCTTCTCAGCAGGAGTTAGTAAGACAGGATATCTGACCTGAAATGAGTAAGATTCAATGACTAACAAGTGTTCCGTAAAAAAGGGGAAACAATATACAATAGGAAAGCATATAAAAACACAAAAACCACAAAATACCAAAAATAAAATCGATAATGAGGAAATGAATCCGATATTCAAACTAGTTCCATGAAAGAACTGTACATTTGTGCAATCCAATTCAAGCTCAAGCCGAGCATTTGCATGTGTTATATTTGCCATGTAGTGAAAGCGTTTTTTTTTTTTTTTTTTCACTAATCCCAATGGCTATATTTAGTCTAACAAGGTGTAGCATGTAGCTTCAAAAAAAATTACATAAATAAAATAAAAAGATGCAATCAAATTTCCTATGACTACCAGCAGCAGCATTCATGCAATGCGTCCATGCTTCAAATGTCTAAAAGATCAAATGGCAAAAATAGATCTGGTTTCCAAATAAAAAAGCTTTCAGGATGTAATGCTTTGGCAGATATCACCCCCAAATGATCAGCTTTACAATCCTCTATTCTGCATGAATGGCCCTATATTGACTTTTCTATTACACAACAAGCCCGATGCATTCCTCACTTCAACCATCCAACTTTAATTCTACAAATAATATCCCCATCTATTTCACCATTTCTTTGATCAATAGATCCAAGATATCAAAAATGTGTACTCTTATTAATGACTTGAGCCCAAAGTCACAATCCCCCCACTAGATCTATTACTGTTAAAAATACAGTCCATATATTAAGTTTTAGATCTACTCAAACGAAAACTTTTTGAATCTAAGATTGACCTCCATAATTCAAGTTTACCTTCAACTCCCTCTCTAATCTTATGAACAAAAGAATATCAACAGCTAAAAGCATACACCAGGGTACAACCCCTTGCAAATGTCTAGAGAGAACATCCATGACTAAAGCAAAACAATATGGGCTTACAAATGATCCTTGATGTAATCAACCTGAAATTTGAAAATACTTAGTCAAACCACCTTGTGTTTGAACACAAGTAACAGCTCCTACATACATATCCTTAATGACTTGAATATAAGCATTATTAATCCCTTACTTTTCTAGAACTCCCCATAGCACTTCCTTTGGACCTTTATCATATGCTTTCTCTAAATCTATAAATATCATATGTAGATCCTCCTTATTCTCTTTGTACTTCTCCTTCAAACCTCTCAAATTAATGAGGAAAAATATTATGAACCGGATAAGTAAAAGCAAAGCACGTGGGCCAACAGAATATTATTACAACAGCAAGCAGGAAATGCAACACAAGAAACATCAAAAATCAGGTTGACCTCCATCACGCTCCATATACTCGATTATAGATCTACCCAAACGAAAATCTTACAGCTCTAAGGCTGACCTCCATAAGTAAAAGTTCATCTTTGATGTACCAACTGAAAAGGAAAATACTTGGCAAAACCACAGTGTTTGAACACAAGATATCTCCTATATACTTATCATTAATGACTTAAAAATAAGTATTATTTCTTCCTTTTCTAGAACTCTCTATAGCACTTCTCTTGAAAATCATATGTTTTCTCTAAGCCAATAAATATCATATGTATATCCTCTTACCCTCTCTATGCTTCTCAATCAAACCTCTCAATAAATGAATAGCTTACAAGATAGACCTACCCAACATAAATCCAAACTAATTTTAAGAAACATTAGCATCATGTCGAACCTTGTGCTCATATACGCTCCCCCATAATTTTAAAGTATAACACATTAACTAGTTCCTCTATAATTTGCACTCTTGTGCATCACCTTTATTCTTAAAAATAAGAACCAACACACTCCACTTATCTGGCATCTTTTGTTTTCAAAATAGTATTAAAAAAGTTTAGTAAGTCAATAAATTTTTTGATCTCCTACGTAATAACATGTCTCTATCGAAATATCATCATGCCCCACTACTTTTCCAAACTTCATTTTTTTTAAAGCCTCTCCAATTTAAATTTCACTACTACAGCGATAAAAATAAAAATCTTTATTTTCATTTAAGATGCTAAGGTAGCTTAAGTCAATGGTATTCCCACAATATTCATTGAAAAGTTTATCAAAATATCTCATCCACCTATGTGGAATATCCTCCTCTAAGAAAAGCATTTGTTTTCAACTTTAACCTTAATACACTTCCCTTGAAGTAGGCATTCTTCTATCTCTTTATTTGACTAACTTAAACATACATCTTTCGTCCCTTTATTAACTAATCTATTATATAAATCACCAAAAGCTAAATTTTTTCCATCACATATTGCTTTTTGAGACTCCCTATGAGCCCCTCTATATCTTCCACAATTTTTCAAACTTTTACATATAAACCAATCTTTATAATAAATCTTCTTATCTTTTATCTTTTCTTGCACATCTTAATTCCACCACCAAGTATTTTTTACTACTAAAAGCTTTTCTTTTTCTTTTTCTAAGAACGTACTCCGCAATATTTTTAATATCACTAGCTAATTTTTCCTACATAACATTAGCATCCTCATGAACAACCCAAATCTTGAAATATAATAAAATGAATTCAAATAATTTGCAAGTTAAGAATGTAATCCTCCAAAAGAAGGCAGGTAGAGTCAACAAAGTTCAATGTAACAATGAGCAATTATTCAAATACCCTTATGATGGGCATAATTATTGTGCATCATAATCATAACCAAAGGGATCCATTTTACATTAAAAAAAAGGCTTTCAAATTACAAATACAAATAATACAAACAACAATGTACTTTCATGGTGGCAACATTTATAGAAAATCCCAACTAATAAGAATCTTTATCATCAGAACACCCCCAAAATTCCAAACAAAAAATACTTCGAGCTTAAATTCAAATAAAAATAAACAAAGTTCAAAAAATTTGTAAGGTATAAAAATTTCAAGCAATAATTGATCACCCAAGTTCAAAACAAGTTATCCAACCTCCACAATAATTTGTTGATGGAGACAAATTTAATATTTAACATAAGCTCATAGGAAGTCAATATCCTATCAAACATATTGTTATTATCACTCTGAAAAATATCTCATGCAAGTTAGGATATGGCACGTATTCTCTGACTGTGTGATTTTGCAGCCAAATATCATCAAGTAAATCATAAAATATGGGCAAATCTCTAAATAGCATCTTATCTAATATCCAATCTTCCTCTAGAATTTTGACCAATAACCAAACTCTCACAGAAGAGTAGGACGTCAAATTTTGTAGCCCATAACTATGATGATCATCAACAATATAAAATGTTGAGCAAAAGTCATGTGTTGGTGTAAAAACAAGGAATTGAAGATCGTATGGTATATACCAAGTGCAAGAGGAAACTAGGTATTTATCAGACAAGAAGAAGTCAGAAAAAATAATGAGTATAAACACTCCATAGGTTAGTTCCTAACGGGTTTTTTTAATTACCCGGATGCAAAATATAGAATACAGAATAAACACATTGGATTGCGAGAATGCAGAGAGAAATATTTCATTGAAAGCCTTCAAACACATATATAGCCTATGAAGTGCGATTGAGAAAGTCATTTGCAACCTCTGCAGACAAGCACATTTAACACTTCTCGGGAGGATGGCTATAGATATAATTCGAGCATTCAAGAAAAATAGAATGTAGTGTTATCATTAAGGAATATAAACCAGAAATTTGAACAATGTTTATGTTTTGATATCTTCGTAACAAAGTTTTCAGGCATTCTTAGGTATTTCAATATCATTGCTGCTCAGTAACATCGTCAAAGATAAAAAACAAAGCGAACTGCATAGAAACAAAATAACTTACTTCCTTTCCATCAGGACTCCTCATTACGACCCCATCAACAACGGGAGACTTCCTTGCTTCAGCATGTGCATATTCTGGACCCACCGTATAAACCTACAAGAGAATAAATAATTAATTCTTAGAAAATCAGGAACAACATAAAGAGAATATTGTTCTCGTGAAAAATTCTTTAGCTGATTAAAAACCAAAGTTCCAGTCCAACCAAACACTAGGATACTACTTGATTTAGCTGATAAAAAAAGACAATTAAAGTTCAAGTTCACTTCTCTTCCTCTCCCTTCCCCTTTCACATATTTGCTTTAGCAGGTTTTTTTTTTAAGCAGGATTTCCAGAAAAGTGATATGAGTGCAACATGAAAAAATTCTTTTAAAATTAACGGGAAAAAAATACACAAGCCAAAATAAAAATAGAAAGAGGGTAGATGATGCAAAATACTTTAAATAATAATAATAATACAAAAAAAATGGCAAGGGTGTAACTAACTCAAGTGGACTTGTGAGCCGGCTCATGTTTGACCCAATCAATGGCTCAGAAACAGAGCTCGATAACACGTGAGCTAACTTATTTAAAAAATATTAATATTAAATGCACTTAATAAAAATTCAATAATTTAGCATAAAATTGCAAGAAATATAACAAAGTCACATTTCTCTTCCTTATTTTAGGTGATTTTTTATTATTTTTTATTTAATATTTTATTATTTTTATTATGTTATTATAATAACTACTTGAATAAAATGATTTTATCTCTTTTATTGTAAATGAGCCAGTGCGTGAACTGACTTAAACTCGTAAAATTAAAATAGAGCACAATTAATTAATTATGCACAAGCTGAACTCGATGGTGACTCGAGCTAGACGCAACTCAGTTGCAACCCTATCCTAAGATGTTAATTTCAATATCGAAAACTTGAGTTTCTCTTCAATTATTATCCTCGAGCTATTAAATAAAATAATGAAACAAAGATCTAGATTGAATGAGTACAATACAAAAATCTAAAGTTAGAAATACTTTTTTTTAACCTAAGTATTGAAGATAAACATTTATGAGTGAAATAGAGAACAATTTTAAAAATTGATATGTTAGAATAAAAATAATTTTAAAAAATCAATGTATCAATCTCGTTATGTTAGGAGTAAACAAAAAGCTTATATTATATAGGTATATGATAGCATAAGAAACTTTAAAAGTAAATCAAGCTTCTGAAAGAAAGATGGATACTTATGTTTCTATTTTACAGTAATCATTTCAATCTGCTCTAAATCAACTCATGGATTTTATGCTTTCTTATATGTGAAAAATATCCTGATTAATGCCATGCTCGTATTCCAATGTCAGACGTGATTTTTCTTTCTCAGTTTATAAATTACTTCATGATTGAATATCAAATGACTAGTTATTATATGATAGCAAAAGATACTATTTAAAGTAAATGCATGAAAAGACGGCTATAAATGAAGTTGTTATATAGGAGAGAATGCATGTGAATAATGGAGTTCACCACCTTATGACAGTTTACACAATTATTATAATAAAAGTTGTGATTTAGTTGGCTCTTTTCAAATTGAAAGATTGCACACGCTGAAAATGATGTTAGAAAGTTTTAAATTTTCACTGGTCATCAGCTATCGCCTAGATATTTCAAGCACCTGATTCAGGTCGTGCCAAAAGTGGTATTAAAGCCCGAGCTAGAATAAATTGGGGAACAATCAGCAGAAAAGATCTATTAAAATGATCAATAAAAAAATTACAAAATTGATTAGATATTTCATATAATACTCAAAATATTTTAAAATATAAAGCATCAAACCTATTTATTAAATCACTTAAATTACCTATTCACTAACACGTACCTGTAGCATGACCTAATCCACTAACGTAAGCATTCCACTAACCTAAGCAATTCCCATCCACGAATAGATGCATGCAACGGCTGATGGGAATCACATGGCTGGTATTGAGAGCATTATGGTAGTGGAATATTAAGATATTATATTAGTAGCATATCAGCACGTAGCATCATTTTCTCCTTCCATTCCTCTCACCTGTCACTAGAAGCCGCTGAAGGCTGCTAGCAAGAGGAATCAGGAAAGCGGCTGCTGTAGGCTGTTCGAGAGGAAGAATTCAGCAAACATTAAGGTACGATATAAAGAACATTAAGGTTGTTGTAGGCTGTAATTTGCTGTAAATGATGAAATCAGTTAGGTAATGGATGTATTTTGCTGTAATTCAGAAAACGTATCATAAAATAGTAAATAAGGGCTGACATCAAGTGCTATTGTTGCTGGAATTGCACTTGTTTGTTGAACCAATAAAATATAATGCTGTTGTTTGCTGAAAACAACAGCTGATATGATTTAAATTGCTGAAATCAGCTGTAAGTGCTGAAATCAGGGAAGAAAAGTAAGAGGAAAAGCTAAAAGGAGGTAGGGGCATTGTTGTTTGTTGATATTAGATAATAATGGTTGCTGAAATTTATATCTTTGTGCTGAAATCAGTAAGTTGAAGATAAGAAAAATCAAAAAATTATAAAGAAATAAAAAGGAAGGGAAGTAGAGAGGAAGAAGGGAGTTCGAGGCGAGATTTTGGGTTGAATGAGTTCATTTTAAATAAATTTTCATATAAGTTGTGCTATTTTTATATGCTATATGCATGCATACATAAATGAGAAAACATAAATTTTAGGTTATTTATAAGAGGAAAAGAGACCGGTACTATATGAGATCAAATTCACCCGCCTACGCCAGAGAACGAGGTAACATACCCAACCGGTAGTGTAAGAAATGAGAGCATTTTTGTGTTCTTAATGTAAGTGTAATAGCAATCACTTTACATTAAGCATGTCATATATAATTTTAGCATGTTGTATATTAATAGTAAACTGTGATGCTAAATTGAGATGACGGGTACGGACATGTGCATATCTATAAAAATATAATGTAATTTAGATAGGTCATATATGAGGGATAGGCCCACACAAGTAAAGACGAAAGACCTGACGAGGTAAGCATACACTCTCTCCTTCTAAAAGTTGGAATTCAAACCAACCTTGAAGGAGACATCAGTCTCAATTATAAAAGTTGGGAATTATGAATTCCATCATTTAATAAGAGAGTTGGAAGGATGCAAATCTATAGTCATCATATAACTTTCTAATATGAAAGGTGGAAAGCTAAAGATACTTTAATATCTTTGCAGCTTATGATTATTAAAGAAATTTTTGTATTGTTTTCAATTGACTGCAAGCATATTTCTTATTTCTTCTACTATGTTTATGTATTTCATTTTAGCTCATTAGCAGTTGTTGTGCTATATGAAAAAGGAATGAGCTAGTGGTGCACTAAGCAGAAAGGTTGACTGCACATTTTGTGTACATACGTTTTGGGTGTACATAGAGGTCAAAGTAGAGATTGTACATATACATTTGGGTATATAAATGTTATTTATTTTAGTAAGCTTTGTATTTTATTTTGATGTGTTTAAATATACTTCCAGTTATGAAACATTAACTAGTCTTAAATTTTGTAAATTTTGAAGTTTGGAAGAGTTTGGATTGACCATATCCTACTCACTTGATCCTGATAGAGGTACTTTAGGATGGGTGTTAGTAAAAGATAGATATTTTCAAATTATCCCTCTATGTTACACCCCACACTCCATATTGACTGTAAAGGGAGTCAAATTCTGACAGAAATTAGTATCAGAGCCAGGTTCAAAATCAAATGAAAGAATAATTGGATTTAGACAATGAAGTTGGATGAGATATAATGAATCTGATGTATACAGAGCTATTGGTTGAATCAAGATTGAATGAATTTATGCATTCATTCTAGTTGAATAAGTATACTTGCATAATAGATTTATTTAATGCTTTAAAATGATCACCTGTATTACAATAAGTGCATGTATTATATAAATTATCTATATGCGTACAAATAATCATATCTGAGGAATTGTCGGAAAGAATGATTGGCCAATCATCCAGGCCAGATACATAAATAGAAATGAAAGAAGAATAAGTTTAAGGAACTTCAAAACATTGTGTATTTGATCTCACAAGTGGTGGATAAAATGGTATCGATGGAGAAATCTTCTACAAGCAATGAATCCATATCTAAAAGTGGCAATGAAGTGGATCAACATTTAAAATTATTTCAGACTTTTAAATCACCAGCATTCAAAGGTGCAAGAGATCCAATAGTAACTGAGGATTAGTTATTGAAGATATGGAAGATTCTAGATGGTATGATTTGTCCTGAGAATAGAAAGTTACCATTGGCTACATTTGTTTTATATGAAAGATGATGGCAAGCACATCATAGAGAGCAATTTGGACATATATCTATCACTAGCATACAATGGGATGATTTTGTGAAGATATTCAGAGATTTGTTCATTCCTCATTTAGCCAGATTAGCTTTGCAAGACATTATTTAATCTAACTTAGAGTTCTAAGACGGTTGTGCAATATGAAGCCGAGTTTACTTCCTTGTCCTCTTATGCACCTCATTATGCCAGCACCCAGGAAGAAAAATGCCACATATTTTTTAGAGGACTCAGGGATCAACTACAACAAGCATTGGCACTATTTAATATCAATGAATTCTCAATCCTAGTGAAGAGAACCAACATAATTGAAAATGAGCTGAATCTTTCTAAGCATAGTTGGGAACAGCAGCAAACAAGCAAAAGGAAAATGTTTGAAAAAGAAGATCAATTCAGAAACAAGAAGCTAAAATTTGATGATAAGCAAAAGCCAACACACCTAAGAAACCTCTGTGTGATTAGTACAGAAAGAGGCATTTGGGCTAGTGTTTAATGGGTTATGGAAGATGTTTTAGATGTGGTGAACCGGGTCATCGCAAGGTAGACTGCCCTAAGGAGAAAAGAAGCAATGCCAGGCCACAGGGATACCAAGAGAAAGCACCATATAGGAGATATATAGAAGGCAATTAAGTAGGAAAAACTCAGTATCAGGGAAAGCCAGTAATACAATGGAAGCCTCCAGTTTAGTTAAGAGGAGAAGCATCAGATGTGAAAGCTGTGGAAGCTCGGGTATTTGCTATAACACCTCAAGAAGCTAAAGATTCTG